TCCAAAGCTTCCTGTTTTCTGGAATCTCAAGGTTTTAGGCTTAGATGGAACACATAAATGACAGAGTCAAGTTATTTTGGAACAAATGTAAAATTTTGGACTTATCCTATTTGATTTTCTCTTTAAAAAAGAGCCTTACCTTCTAACAAAAATCATAGTCAAGTTTTCCCAAGATCTAGTGAGATATGTCTAAACTGACTATAGGTAATTGATTATAGGTAAGGCTGTTAAGAAAGCCACTCTGGTCTACATTCAGAAATCTTTTCTGGATACATGTGTCCTTTCATGCTTCAATTAGACCCTGATGTCCATGAACCAAAATTCTGGACATAATATTCAGAGATACTTTGCCTATGAACACTTTAAAATTGCATCGTGACAGAGGAGATTATAATTAAAGCACTTACTCCTGTTATTACAAAACCAAACAAGAAAGCATCCAATAAAGTTCTCCAAAGGTAAAACTATGGTTTTGGCTACTCCTCAAAACCTTCAGCTCAGTTTTTTGCATAGTTTGATGTCCCATCCAAACAGTTTGATGTACTTATAACATTTGGTTTATGTGTAAGAAAGCTTGATTATAAGAAAAATGTCCTAGGATATTTCTTTCTTCATTAATTCTGACTTTATCTTAGGCTAACTGTTCTAGACAGACAGTGAATAAATGTGTTCTGAATGCCTTTTCTCTTTCAACAACCATTCTCGGCTACATTAACTATATTTCCTTATGTTCTGTCTTTTTTTTCTTTTTGTAGTGTGTGCTTTAGACCAGTCATTTAGTTCTTTACATATGTACTAACCCATTTAGTCCTCCCATTTAATAAAGAATCCATCTAATAAAGAACCCATTTAATAAAGAAATTGAGGTACAAAAAAGATAAAGAATTCCAGTTATTTAGGGAAATGAGGGTCATAAACTAGTTAGTAAGTGGTGAGACCACTGTCAGGCTAATGTTAGAACTTGAGTTCATCTTGTTGACCACTAAGCTGTGATCCCTGTAACTAAAAAGCTTCTTCACAGCAAAGGACACAATCAAGAGTGTGAAGAGAGGGCCTGCAGAATGGGAGAAAATCTTGGCCACCTGCACCTTAGATAGAGCATTAATTTCCAGGATACATAACGAACTTATTTTCTGTATTCTTGATCTCTGGCATTAGGGCTTGTGAAAGGCACCCCTCTCGGGGTTAACTTTCCCTAGAAATAAACATTTGCCTGCCTATAGGTCTTTCATAGGCCTCCAGAGACAAAGGTATATTCTTCCCATTAACATGGGTTTGCCTTTGTTCTTTTAAAACACTGTTCCTTTCATCATTTTGTTAAGAAGCCTTTGACCACTTCCTGGGTGTGGCTTGAATTACAGTGTCAGCAGGGAGTAACTTAATCTTGGTCATCTGGGACAACTTTCTGATCCTCAAACTTCTTGTCCAGTAGAAGGTAAAAAGGAAATGTGACCTCATCTTATTCCTCCTGCTTTTGCTTTTCTCTTGCCTTATCTATCCCTCCATCCATAATACATTCTAAGAAGGCAGGGACAATTGGGGTGAGGCTAGTATTAGATCAGAGTATTTTCCCACTTGTACCTGTCAGGGTGCTGCAGGAAGCATCTGGTTTGCACAAATGATTTTATTGAAGAGAATTTATTAAATGGAATGGTTTCAGAGGTTTAAGACTTAAGGGAATCCATCAAGAATGGTGAAGACAAGCAACTGCATCCACCCTAGGCCTGAAAAAGCAAATGTGTATGTGTTGGGGGAGGGGGCGGTTGCTGGACTCTCTGAGAGTCATAACTGTGAGAGAGAGGACACTAGAAAGTCGCATGGCACAAAACAACATAACCATAGCAAAAACCCTGATCTGACAAGGGGGCACAGTGGGATAAGTAGGCTGGCCTGTCTTCTTTCCTTCCCCCTAATCTCTGGTAAGAATCACCCATCAGTCAAACCCAATAGGAAGCCAGAGGGCAAAGAAGCTGTAGATGTCAGCCTTCCAAGGTGCAGCCAAGGCAAAGGGTGAAGAATTAAGGGGCAAAGAGTAATACATTGTCAACATTTGGAAGTTTAAAAAATGGTTCACATTTTATATAAAACAAACCAGTTGGTACAACTTACTACTACTTTTCTTTTAGAATAATGAATTCCTCACATGCCAGAAGAAATGTAGCAGTACCACCTGGAAGTTCAATAGCTCGATGGCATCTGGTACCTCATCTTGCCATGCATGGGGTTCAGATCCTGCTGCCCCTCAACATATCTCCTTACTGTATTGTTCATTTCTGCCAGGAGTAATAAAAATCTGTGTCAACACTACATGTTCTTAGGATCACATATTTTTAGGAAGTCCATCTTGTTCAATACCTCCCACCATATACATCAGGAATCACTTAGCATTGCTGACACATTATTTGGTCTGATTGAGTACTTTGATGACAAACTGCTTACTGTCTCTTGAGAGAAACTTCTATTATTGAATAACTCTGTTTTAAAAGTTGTTAATACTAATTCACAATATTTATTGGAAGTTACTCTTTTTTTTTTTTGGTACTGGGGATTGAACTAAGGGGCACTTAACCACTGAGCCACATCCCTAGCCCTATTTTATATTTTCTTTAGAGACAGGATCTCACTGAGTTGCTTAGCGCCTCACTTTTGCTGAGGCTGGCTTTGAACTTGTGATCCTCCTGCCTCAAAGAGGCAGGGATTACAGACATGCACCACCATGCCTTGTGAAGAATTACTCTTTTAAATAACTGTTTTTTTATCAAAGCTGAAGCAACTTTAAATTTTAAAGTGGAAATTCTCTAACTTATACCTCCAGGACAGTCCTATACCATAGTTTACCATTAGGACATGTCTTCTTCTCTTGAGGTGTTTTATTAGGGGGTCTGGAATCCTGGAGATTCTCATTTGCTACTACTATGAAGGAAAATAAGAGTTGATTGAGGTGATGAGTTGGGCCACAAAGGGGGACAAGGATTAGATACTTTTAGGGGAAAAAATGACTGTTGTAGAATTACTAGCTAGAGGTAGCAGAGGAATATAATCAGTAAATATAAACAGTGTAATATTAAATAGGAATGTTTGTAGCACTGAGGAACAAAAACTGTCTGAAACAACAGAACTGAAAGATTCAGTGATAGTTTCCATCCATTCCCACTCTCACCCTCCTGCACTTTGCTTGGGTCCTGGGAAGATGTATGAGCTATATGGAGGCCCTCTGGCTTCTGGTTAGGTTATGATTAGCCATTGGGGGATGTTTGAAATATATAATCCCTTTCATATTCTTCCTTCTTGGGGGTTCCTATAAATTGGCTGAATCTGTCCACTCAAGGCCTATGTCTGATTGCCCTCTCCATAGTTTTCTCTCTAGATTCTAGTTGATATCTTTGCTTTAAGCTTGGGCACTGCATAATCCTTGTGGTTTCCTACACCATACCCACATATGTAAATAATCCTGTTCCTTATTAAATTGCCCAATTGGAATGTGCCATCTGTTTCCTGATAGGATCCTGATTGGCACACTAAGTCCCATTAATCGCCCAACAAATGTTTATTGAGTAAACAGTTAATGCCTAGAAGGGAAGTTTGGAAAAGGAGACAACCACAGAAACAGATTATTATATTAAATGTTGATAAATGATGCCGAGCACTGGATGGGGAGGTGGGTAGGATGTAAGATAGACAGTCATAGGGAGCCTCATGGGTTCTTGGTGGAGATAGGCTCAGGCAAATTGAGAGGCAAGAAGGTAAATAAGGAGTGATCAGGAACCTCAAGAGACACTGACAGCCAAGGACATCAGAGCCAGTCAGGGTTAGGCTGGGCCTGATCAAAGGAAGACTTTAATGTGAGGAGGGGTCCTTTTCTTCCATTTTCTTATTCTCCCCACCAAGGGGAACTAAATGACACACATAAAATCGGCAGCCTCTCACTCTTAGCCTTTTAATCTTGTCCCACTACCAGGGTTTGACATTCCTACTTTCTTGGCCTAAAACCCTTCTTTGGAAAATTACCTCCATACACATTCTGCACAGTTCAAGGTCATTAAGATTGCAACAAGACAATATAGTAAAATAACCTTGAAGATAAGTTACAGAGGAGGGTTAGAAATGAACATTCCCCAAAACATTCTAGAAACCCTGGCAGTCAGACCCTTTTTCTCTGACAGCAACATATAATACTGACATGTTCTTGCCCCATGAAGAAGGGGGAAGGTAACTTTAGAAACAGCAGAGAGTAAGCTTCAGGGCGTCAAAGTGATTCCACTAAGAGGCTTTTGGTTCATATCGGTTTTGCAGGTCCCGGTTCAGGAAATAGAACCCAGGACCTTGTGCATGCTAAGCAAGTGCTCTAACCTAGGTGGGCACTTTTAAAATCCATTTTATCACACACCACAGGAAAGTTTAGGGTCCAGGAGGTGCCTGTTTTCCCCTCTTAAAAATAAGCGGTTATTTTTTTGGTTGGTATTTTGTTTTGTCGTTGTTTGGTTTGGTTTTGGTACCAAGGATTGAACCCAGAGACGTTTAGCCACTGAGCCACATCCCCCTGCTCTTTTTATTTTTATTTTTTTAAATTTTGAGACAGGGTCTCTTGCTAAGTTGCTAAAGGCCTCGCTAAACTTCTGAGGCTGACCTGGAACTTGCGAACCTCCCGCTGGGATTATAGGAGTGCACCACACACTACAAGTGGTTTGGCTGCTAGCCCACCACTGCCCAAACCATCCAAGGTTCCTTCTTGACCCTTCCTTGGCATCAGAATTGGGACCCAAGAGACTTCATTTAAAAGCACACGCATAACCGAACAAATCTCTCTCTTCTGCGTCACGGCCTTCCCACAAATAAGAGACGCGGGAAGAGTTAAAAAGATGTTTGGTGTGCCTGAATTCCTCTGAGCGCGCTCTCTGCACAAGTAACTGGATCAGTCACTCCAGCCCTCGGCGAACTCCGAGGCTGGGCCAGTGGGCCGCCACTGAGCTGGGAGAGCTCTCGAAGGCCGCGTGATCCCGGGGGTGGGGCCGGCTTCGGATCCTGTGCCAGCTGCCCACCCCCAGGAGGCCCCACAGCCCTGACAACTCCGAGAAAGCCCCTCCCCGTAGGCGGAGACATCGCCAAGAAATCCCGACCCCGGGGCCGGCGGGAGCTAGTACCCAGAGGCTGCCCGGCGCGGACCGTGAAGTTGTGACGGCCATGGAGAGCTACAGAGGCTTCTTGGCGCTGCTGGTGTCGGCGCTACCGGTCGGCTTCCTGTCGGTGCTTTTCACCCTCATCTGGGTCCTCCACTACCGAGAGGGGCTCGGCTGGGACGGGAGCTCGCTCGAGTTCAACTGGCACCCGGTGCTCGCGGTGACAGGCTTTATCTTCATCCAGGGCATCGGTACTGGGCACCTCCTGTGGGGCGGTGGAGCGTGGCCGGCGAGAAGGAAGAGGGCGGGCTCCGGCGGGGCACGGGCGGGGCCCGGCAAAGCAGCGATCGCGGCGCTGCAGCGGGGGCGCCCGGGTGGGAGTGCGCGGCGAGGACGCGTTGCGGGGGGGCAGCGGCGAGGAGCGCAGCTGGCCTGAGTCGGCCAGCTCGGTGCAGTGGGTCTGGGTCGCACCGGGACGTCCCCGCGTCTGCAGGAACAAGAGTGGAGATAAGCCCCAGCACCGCGCTTCCCAGCCACTTGCCCCTAAAAGTCGCCTCTGTGGGCGGAGCCTGCGCAGTCAGGGGCGCAGAAACTCTCTAGCCAGAGGCCTTTTGCTGAACTTGTTAGAAGGCTGCAGAGTGAGAGAGGAAGGCTGCGGGGCCGAATGGAAGGGCGACAACTGGCCTCTCCCGTAACTTCCTTAGCTCTGGATAAAGGGGCTGAGCAGCTGGTAGCCGCGGCGAGTGGCGGAGCATCCTTTCAGGGTTTCACCCAGTTAAACCCAGTCGGTCCTTCGCTCAGTCTAAACACACTCAAAGGGGTGTTTCGCCGCCCTGCTCAGTCATTGGATGCTCTGGAACCCAGCGTGTTTATGTGGCGGCCCACTGGCGAAAGTTCCCCCTCCGGGGCTTCCTGTTGGGCGGTGGCCCCAAACGAGGGGTAGGAGAAGTCCAGAGAGAGCTTGCGGCTGCGTGGCTCCGAGGGATGCTCCCGCGCGCGACGTCCCTGGGGTTGGCCGTGTCGCTGCTTGCCCGCGGTGTGCCAGCTCCCGGCCTACTTCTTCCGGGATGAGGCTGGATGGGAGAGGGGTTCAGAGGGAGGCTCAGTCTATGGTGGTGTTTATTGTCGTTAGGTAGGTCTCACCACCTACTGACAGTTGTCTTCAGAGGCTTGGCTGGAGGAACCTCTAGTTAGTGGCGCAAGCACCATTTATTTGTAACCACTTTCTCAAAAGTGAAGTCAAGGCGGTGGCCTTGTGAATACATTTAGCAAATTGTAGAAATTGGTGGGCTGGAGTTATGTTGCAGAAAATTATCGTGAGGAATGGACTGAATTGGGAAAGAGATGCCCACCAGCGGGAATCTTCTATCTGGCCCCTGGGCAGGCTGCTTTTTCTTCACCAATATTTAATTCCCCACAAACAAGTGAAGAAAAAAGCCATGGCCTCATTTCTAAAGAGACGTTTTTGTTTTGTTTTTCCTTTTTAAACTTGTGCTACAACTTTGAGCAAGTTCTCAAATCGGGGTATAGTGGACGGTGTTACTAATGCTCAGCCTTTGGAGGCTTCCTTGGTATGCTCCTCAGGGTGTGAGCGTCACTGGTCATCCTGAGTTATTTTGTTGCATAATGCCCAGATGTTTTGCTACTGCACTAAAAGGAGGGGAAAAAATTCTCAAATTCCAAAGTTGATGTCACCAGTACACTTTCCTTCACGGTGGAGCCTTTTAGTTTGACCAGAGTTGTGTACACATTCTGTTTATTCAAAGTGGTAGGAACAGTCTTTTTCATCTCTTCCCTCCACCTCTGAAAGCAGCCCCTAAAACCTAGAAGCTCTTCAAAGACTTGAAGTGTGTTCTAATAGTTGAGGTAAGGGGTACACAGGTGATAGTGCTTGTTGCCTGACTTCCCACAGAGGACACACAGTCAAAGCATTTGAATTTTGTGTGTCCACTAAATGCATTATATGAGTAAACTGAAGGACTGAGGAGTTAAGTAACATACCCACGGAAGTAGCCTAAGTCCTTTCAATGGCCTAACTTTCAAGGAGTTCTCTGCTTTTAGGACAATGAACTTATTCTTTGCAGTCTTCTCTTCAGAGAAGTCAAAAGCTTTACTTAAAATACATTTTGAAACTCTTTATTCACATTATAACCCATTACAGGGTTTGTGTAAAAGATTTTCTGATTTCTCTAAATTGTGGATTTCTCTTAATTTGTTTATACTTCCTTTGGGGCAAAAATGTGTAAACGGATATTAGGGGATTTTTCATGTGTTGCTGTTATGCAAATCTCATTTTTTTTTAGGTTTAGTCACTCTCTTTTGTGTTAATATTTCAATGTTTGTCTTGTCAACATTACCGACCCTGTTTATTGTTTGGATCCTGAATTTGCAAAGTGTTTTAATCATGTAGTACATGTAACTGACATGAACATAAACTTTTTCATATATGTAGACCTCATACATAATTCTCCCTGGTTCTCCTGTATCTTGGCTCACACATACTCCGCCAAGCAGTAGGAAGTGTCCAGGGGAAGAGAAGTAAATACAGAAGCTACTTGGTTTATTATGGAGTTACATCCCCAATAAACCTATCATATGTTGAAAATAGTATAATTTGAAAATGCATATTCCTTATCTACTCTGGGTTAGCAACACTGTACAATGCTCTGTAGAGCATTGAATGTTATGATGGTGTAGCTAACTGGGAGCTGTGGCTCATTGCCACTGCTCACCATCTTGAGAGTATAATCATATTGCTAGCCTGGGAAGAGATCAGAATTCAAAATCTGAAGCATAGTTCTACTGAATGCACATGGCTTTGGTACATTGTAAAGTCAAACAACCATTAAGTCAAACCATCCTAAGTCAAACAGTCTGTACTTGACTTTATTGATGGTGAGGCACACACATGTTACAGACTATCCATGTTATACTGGGCTTCTTTACTGTATGTTATTGCTTTAGGGAGGAAACTTTAAGGCTATGAGATTTTAGATCTCTAATAATGAACATGATGTAATAGAACACTTATATAATACACAAATATTTGGAGATGAGGATGGGAAAGCTAACATATAGTTATTACTCTAAGCATAGAGTGCTTTACAAATACAGTATACAAACAGTAAACAGAATTTGAAACTATCTTAAGAACAAATATGGGTCAGAAATACTTTAAGCCTTGAAGAAAGTAAAACTAATATGGAAGTTGAAAAATAAAATCTCCTCCACACCCATGCACACACACAATCAAGTATACTCCAAATATATTTTGGAAAATATATGTATTCTAAATTAAAGTATATCAGATTATGGAAAATGTAAAACAAAAAAAATTTTTTTTTGAAATGAAGTCTTGCTTGCCTTTAATTCCTGGGCTCAAGTGATTCTCTGCCTCAGCCTCCCATGTAGCTGGGATTACAGGCACATGCCACTGTGCCCTGCTAAACAAAATCTTAAATAAGAGAAATCTTCCTAACAGTCTCTAACACTAATGAGGAAGAATTTAGAAGAGGCTTTGTGCTTCTTTAAAAGCAATGATTCCCATGAAATAAGTATATTGCCAGGAAATCAGAGAAACAACCCTTGTAAAGAAGGCCGCAGAAAAGACTGCAATGAATAAATGCTCTCAAAGTAGCATTTGGTCTTTTAAAAGGTTCAACAAGGTGGAATGTGTTCTTTAGTAAAAGGTAGAAAATTCAGGTGTCTACTTTAGCCGAAGAAGTCTTAGCAATTCTATACTTGTACTTTCCCATGTGTGGAACTCCTTTTGTGGTGTAAACTAAAGGAAGGGAAATTAAATAGTTTAATGATCTCAAGTTGGTTTTGTGAGATATAATATAACTACATTTAAGTAACATTTAAAAGACTAACAGAAATCAAGAGCAGTTCTTAAAAGGAAATTAGGATATCCTATTAATCTATGTAAAAGTGACTAAATTTCAAGATCAATTAAATATATTTGAAAAGCCTCTTGCAAAGAAGATATTTGAGGAAGTGCCCCAAACATCTATTCCAAAACTAGCCAGGGGAAAAACAGGCTTCTATAACAAAACCTATCAGTCTTAGAGAAAGGAGGGTTTTTTTTCAAAACAAAGACATAATTGGAAGCAACTCAGAACACATTTTTTTGTTATAAATAAATGCACTAACTAGTATAAATGTTTTAGATATGCTTATTTTGTTCACTGCTCAATCTCCAGCACCTAGAACTGACACATGATAGGCCAATAAATAGTTGTTGAATTAATAAATAATTATTTCTGCACCATAGTTAAATTGCTAGTAACAAAATCCAGTTTTGCAGCTACTGAATTGTAATGATAACAACAACATCTGAACTAAAAGTGCCTTTCCTGTCCCCTAGTGGTTATCCTGTTCAACAATTTAGAAACACTGCTTAGTCAACTACAGGGAAGACTGGACATGCAGTTGTACTGGAAAGGCATCTTTATTCTAAGCTACAGAGCTCATTAGTTCATTACTGAGTAGTATCTTCTGTTCCTCCTCTTGCCTACCTAAGGACAGCACTTAATTCTCCCTCTTTTCTTCTGCATCATTAAGTTTTTCACTCCTCCCTTAGATATTTCCAATATATTATAGTTTATGTCATCTTAATCTCTCTCTCCCCCGACCCATCTATCTCTGTTTCTCTCCCCTGTATCCCTCCCAAGCGACTGCCTCAATTTTCTTCTGGCCTTACTGTAGAACATTTTGAAATATGAGTCTGTATCTATAGTCTCTAATTCTTTTCCTCTGTCCTCTCTTGAACCTTCTCTAATCAGGCTCTCTTGTTCTGCTCCACAAAATTGTTCTTGAAGTAATAATCAATTGCTTCCACATTGCTTATACCAGTGGTCAGTTCTCAGACCTCCTGTTGCCTGGCTAGAAGCTTGTATTTGACATAACTGACCCCTCATTCCTCTCTTCCTTTACTTGGTGGATTGAGCAGCTTCTAGGATACCCATCTCCTTGGCTGATCTCTCTTTCTTGGCCACCCCTCCTCTGTCTCCTTTGCAGGTTGCTCCCCATCTCCCTGATTATTTCAGGTTAGAGCTCCCAGGGTTCATTATTTTAAGTACTTTAGTTTTCCTGCATTCCTTCCTGTGGTGGTCTTACCCACCTTCCAGGCTTTAAGTGCCATCTATACACTGAGCTCTCCCATCTTTATATACTCATCCCATACTCTCCCCTGAACTCTAGAACATGTCAAATAGACATGTCCAAATCTCAGCTCTTGATATTCCTCACA